GCTCCAGTCATGATCTCAGGGTGGTGAGAACGAGCCCCAGTGTCCGGCTTGGCTCAGAGTGGAGTTTGCTTGAGATTCTCTCTCTCCCTCTCCTTTTTCCCCTCTCCCCATCCCCTCACTCGCAGTCTCTCTTTCTCTCTCAAAAAAAAAAAAAAAAAGAAAGAAAAGAAAACCTATAACAACTTTATTCATAATTGCCAAAAACTGAAACGAATCCAGATGTCCTTCAGTTTGCTTAATGTTTAAATAAAGTGGTCTTTCCCTACAATGTACTTGGCAGTAATAAGGAACAAACTACTGATGGATGTAACCGCATGGGTGAGTCTCTAATGTGTAGTGCTGAGAAGAAGAACCCAGAATCAAAAGGACACATACTATATGAATCCATCTATATGACATTCTGGAAAAGGTACAACTATAGGAACAGAGAAGCTATCAGTGGTTTCTAGGGGTTAAAGCTAGGGGACGGGTTTGGCTACAAAAGGACAGTATGAAGAGTTGTGGTAAAGTTTTATATCTTGAGGTAATTATGTAGCTCTATATGTCCCCCCAAAAAAGTGAATTTTACTATGTAATTTTTTTTAAGAGAGAGGGAGAGGGAGAGAAAGAATCCCAAGCAGGCTCCACACCTAGCACGTTGCGCAACATGGGGCTCAAACTCCCGAACCTGAGATCATGACCTGAGCTGAAATCAAGAGACGCTCAACTGACTGAGCCATACAGGCAGTCTGGCTTTACTGTATAAATTCTAAAATAACTTTTTAAAAAATGACATACCAGATTTGAAAACCACCAAATGGCTTTTTTAGAACTGTTACAGTGGATGAGTTTAACAGCAGAATCTATCAGCTCAGGATAGACCAATCACAAGAAGGTATACAGAATGTAGCACTGAATGGTAAAATGATGGGAGGTACAGAAGAGTATAAGAGGCACAAAAATAAGTGAAAGAGTAGAACATACACATGAGCATAGTCTCGAGGAGAGAATAGCAGGGAATCTTCTGGAACAGATTTTTTAAAATGATGACCCGACCCACAGATTTAAGAAATCAAATGAACCCCAAGAGGAATAAATAAAAGGAAATCCATATACAGTGAAAATGTAGAAAATCAAAGACAAAATGAAAAATCATTCTGAGAAAAAAAGATGACCTTCACAGGGCAGAAGCTGACAACTGACTTCTCGACTGCACAATGGAAACCGCCAAACAGTGAAATAATCTTTCAGTATTATTGAAAGAATAACTTAGAAAAAAATAACTGCCAACCTAGAAAGTTATACCTAGGAAAAATATATTTTAGGCATGAAGGAGGTATAAAGCCATTTTCAGACAAACAGAAACTGAATTTGTCTTCAGCAGACCCTCCCAAAGCAGATTCCAAAGGAAAATTGTCCTAGATGGGGGGTCTGGAACACAAGAAGAATGACAAGCAAGGAAAATGAGAAACAAGCAGACACACCTAAATGAACATAGAAGAATATCTTCTGGGTTTTTCAAAGAATGAAAACAATAGGGCATATAAATAGGATTGAAGTATTCTAAGTTCCTTGTTTTGTCCTATAATAGAATGCATAGCATAGTTTCTAAGGTAATTACTGGAGAAAACAGACATTAAAGGCATAACTTACAAATTCGTGGTGGGAATAGTGGAATAACTTTTAAAAGTCAGCTAATCCAAAAGACAACAAGAAAAGGAGATTAAGGAAAAGTTTTAAGATGTAGACTTGTATTAACATAGCAGTAGTTACAGTAAGTGTAAGTAGACTAATTACAGTAACTGTTCCAGTTAGAAGTTAAAGATCATCAGACTGGATTTCTAAAACTTAAGTCCTAGGTAGAAGGATTCAGAAAAGCTGAAAGTAAAAGGATAGAAAAACATGCATCTTGTAAACACTAGGAGAAAGGAAGCTCAGTAGATACATTAAAAGCAGTCAAAATAAAATTTAAGGCAAAAAGCATCACTAAAGATAAAGAGGGCCATATCACAAAAGGTTCAATTCCCCAGCAAGATAAGAATTGTACCTTTCTTTGTACCATTGTAATATTAAAATTTGTAGAGGAAAAATTGACAGTTAAAAAAAATAAAATATGCAGAGTGGGTTATTTTTAATACATCTCCATCAGCAACTGATAGAACAAATGTATTAAAAATTAGTAAAGGTACCACATACCTACACAACATAATTAAAAAGAAAAAAGTCTTTTTCTAATGGACACATATAGAACATTGGCAAACATACATTATTGTCGAGCACACTGGGGACATTTACAAATTTATGGTAAGCTATAAAGCAAATCTCAACACATTTGAATGGTTTCAAATCACCCAGATACTCACTAACCACAGAGCACTTAAGCTGGAAATCAATAACAGAAAGACACTAAGAAAATCTCCAAATGCTTGGAAATTAAGATCCACTTATCTAAATAACCTTTAGGTCTAAGAAGGTTTTATAATGGAAATTAGAAAATATTTCAACAATATTTCAGTAATAATGAAAATATATTAAAACTTGGGACTAATGAATCATTGAATACTACATCAAAAACTAATGATGTACTCTATTCTGGCTAATTGATCATAATAATAAAAAAATAAAGAAAGAAAGAAACATCTTCCATGCTGTTAAAAAAATGTGGATGCAGCTAAAAGGGATTTAGGGGGAAATGTATTGCCTTAAATGTATATACTATAAAAAGAAGCCTAAAAATTAATTAGGTAAGTTGTTTAAAAAGATAGCACAGTAAATCTGAAGAAAGTAGAAGAAAAGGAAGAATAACGATAAGAACAGAAATTAATAGAACAAAAAGATAAACATTCAACAGAGAGAATTAACAAAGCCAACATTTTTTAAAGGCAAATAAAATTGATCTCTGGTACCACTGATCAAGGGAAAATGAGGAGGCACAAAGAATGAATATCAGAGCTGAGGAAGGGGGCTTTATTACAGGCGGTGTGGATACTAAAACAATACGAGGATATTATTGATAACTGTATGCCAGTAAATTTGAAAATTTGGGAAAATAGGCAAATTCCCAAAAAACATAACCTCATAAAACAATTTCGAGAAGTAAAAGATCCAAATAGTTCCTGTGACCATTAAAGAAATTTAATCTAACAGGTGAACAGATCTAACACGAGCTCAAGTGGCTGGCTGACCAGGCACTTCCAGTTCAGACAGGAGTGGTCAGCAGTTACCGGCCGGGTCTTCATAGCCACGCTCGTGGGCCCAGAAACAGCGTCTCTGACTGCAGAGGGTGGCGAGGCTGCACATGTGTTCAGACCTTCAGAGATGCAAACCTGTGTCAGCTAGGCAAAGGCCAGATGGTGTTCTGGCAAATGCAGAAAATTCTTAAGACTTTCCAAATAATAAACTCTCATCAGGGGCACCTGGGTGGCTCAGTGGGTTAAAGCCTCTGCTTTCGGCTCGGGTTGTGATCTCAGGGTCTTGGGATCGAGCCCTGCATCGAGCTCACTGCTCAGCAGGAAGCCGGCTTCTCCTCTCTGCCTGCCTCTCTGCCTACTTGTGATCTCTCTCTCTGTCAAACAAATAAATAAAAATCTTTAAAGTAAATAAATAAACTCTCATTGAGAACCATCAGTTAACAGCATAAACATTTTGTGATTGTTAAGGTAAGGAAACTTCCACTAGAACCTAAGAAAACTGAGCTATAGGACTGATATCCCTTTGTGCAGGGATCTGCCCCACCTAAGATAATATAAGGACCCCTAGCTAGAGTAATCCTAAGTAATTCTCCACATTAAGGCAAGATCATGTTCCAAGGGAACAGTCATATAAATATAAAGATACTGGGTTTTGTTTTGTTTTTTTTATTAACATATTATGTATTATTAGCCTCAGGGGTACAAGTCTGTGAATCATCAGGTTTACACACTTCACAGCACTCATCATAGCACATACCTTCCCCAATGTCCATCACCCCACCACCCTCTCCCTACCCCCCTCAATACTGGGTTTTTTGAAAAAGGAAGTCAGCTAGGGGCAGCTGGGTGGCTCAGTCCATTAAGCGGTTGCCTTCAGCTCAGGTCATGATCCCAGAGGCCCAGGATTGAGCCCTGCTCAATCAAGGAGTCAGCTTTTCCCTCTCCCTCTACCCTTCCCCCCTGCTCATGCCCCTTCCCTGCTCTATTTCTCTCAAATAACATCTTTTTTTTTTTAAAGGAACCTTACAAAATTGCTTACTTATAAAGCCAATAAATTGTTTTAGGAAATGTTCAAGATATGTTTGACATATCCTGGTGATCTCTGATGTTACATCTTTCTGTTGTTTATCATAAATATTCAGAAGGAAAGGAATGAAGTTCCCTGAGCTGGTCATGTGACATCACAGGATCCTGAACATGATAGAATTTGTGGGTGAGAATAAAGGAAGCATCAGAGAAGAGATCACAAAATGTTTCAAAGTGTCATAAATTCTAACAATCCAGGAAGCATGGTAAAGCAGGGAGTGGGGGGATCAGTGCTGTCACCACCATTTGACGTTTTCTTTTCCACCACAAGTTGTTAGCTCCTCCTGGCGTCTGGCATTCCAGTGAGCACCGTGAGGCTGGGTCTCCTCTGATTGTCCTTGGTGCACACATTCATGAGAAATGAAGCAGTTGAGGATTATTCAGAAAACTAATTTGAGCTAACACATGGCCTTTATCTCACCAGGTCTTCTGGCTTTCAGCTCTGTATATTTTAGATATTAAAACTTGCTCTCATTTGTACAGTGGACTGTTATTCAGCAATTTAAAAAAGAAGCATGTGGGGGTGTCCAGGTGGCTCAGTTGGTTAAGCATCCTACTCCTGATCTCGGATCAGGTCATGATCACAGGGTCATGGGATCCATTTTTTCAGATGTGCAAAAGCAGTTGTCTGTGTACTTCACGTACTTCTGTGTGGAAAAAGGACTTCCCAGGAGTGAGTAATGGATGCATGGTGCACACCTCACACGTGCTCAGCAAGTAACCACATGCATTCTTTCTGCATAGGAAAGAAAAAGTCCAAGTTCAAGACATTTAAGAAGTTCTTTGGGAAAAAGAAGAGAAAGGAATCGACGTCTTCCACTGGAAATAGCACCTGGAAACAAAGTCAGGCGAAGAGTGAGGTGATTGCCATCGAGTCAGGGCCAGTGGGATATGACTCAGAGGATGAGCTCGAGTAAGTTGCCCCGTCCATCCTTCAGGCTCCTCTCCCCCAATAAGCCTGTGCGAGCGCGGGAGGACCCAGATACTCTGTCTTGGTGTCCTGGTAACTGGCTGGATTTCTGAGTCTCTTTCTCTTCTAGGGAATTCGACTGGAGGTTCTTCTAGGGAAGTTGTATTTTCTGTCTTTTCATACATAGGGATGGAGAAGGTTGAGGGAAGACATTATCACGTACCTATGTGCCAAGTGCTGTGTTTATTAAAAGTCTCCAATCACTGTGGGAGAGGAAGCCAGAACTACCATCTTATAAGTGAGCAAACCAAGCTCTAGAGAAGTTTTGGAGAACTTGCCCATTGCCCTGCAACTGAAAGCTGTAAGATTAGGACACAAGCCATGATTTTATTTGACTTAACACTCTTTTGAAGGCATAGAATATACCAGGAAAATACATCTCTCTAAGCCTGAACTTTGAACTATCTAATAAGAAAATTTTCCATTAGAAGGAGAGAGGGGCGGGGGAAAGTCTTGGAAAAATCATCCAAAATTCTTGTTGGATACAATAGAACCAATAGGTGTGAAAACTTGGGGGAAATCTAGTGAAGTAATCCTTATTTCTAGAACTGGTACCTCACCAAAATATAGTTACAGTATGCATGCTTCAGTGATTCCAGAAGTCACTTCTGTGAATAAAAGGGGGGAGAAAACAGATTTGTTGCCATGCAACAAACATAGTTTGTTTTAGTTTGAGAATAAAATTCCACAGAAGGTATAATGACCCTTGGGATGGGGGAACAGATCCCGCTAGACAGGGTCATAAGTTTCAGGATCCCGGTGATGCTGACCGGTCCCCTTCTTCTCCCCCCAGTCTCCTTGCCTGCTTTAGAGGAGTAGAAATTGCATTGACCACTTGGTGGCACCAAATGACTGAAGTGGAAAGATTCAAGTTTTTTCTTTCAGGGTTTTTGGTGGGTTTTTTGTCTTTCCTGGTGCTGGCAGGGAGCAGAAAGGACCCTCATTACACTTCATCAAGAGCGTGGAGGACGGGCGGTACACGCATTTTTTAAGACAGTGAGCTCCAAATTCTGAGGAAACAAGACATTATCATGATAATCCTGCTGATTAGTAAATGTCTTCACTGGACCAGCCCCAGGGAAATTTTAACACTCACTCACCACCCATGCCCTGTCTCTTAACCCGAACACAGTGGCCCTTCCAACCAGAGAACAGGACCACAGCAGAGTGGGGAGCAGGGTGTGTGTGTCTGTACATTTGTGAGAAACGACCTCTCTACTTATGTGTCTCTTCATTGTCTCTGGAGCCCACAGACAATGGGGACAAATTCCTTTTTATCTTTATGTTCCCAGCACCTGGCAGGGGCCAGGTCCTCAATTACTGGTAAAAATTTGTTGACGGGGCGCCATGGTGGCTCAGTCGGTTAAGCATCTGCCTTTGGCTCAGGTCATGATCTCGAGGTCCTGGGACCAAGCCCTGCATCTGGCTCCTTGATGGAGGTGGGGAGGAGTTTGCAGGAGTGATGCTAGGCTGGGGTGGGGTCTGATGAGGCCCAGGAAGTGCATTGCTTTTAGGGAGCAACACAGAGGATAAGACAAGATCTTTTCCTCCCCCAACTTTATTGGAAGAAAATTAATACATAACTTTGTGGAATTTTAAGGCATATAACATGTTGATTTAATACACATATATATTAAAAACAGATTACCACCATAGAGCTAACACCTGCATCACGTCACCTAATTACTATTTATTTTTTAAGGTGAGAGTATTTAAGATCTAGTCTCTTAACAATTTCCAAGTGTATAATACAAGAGTATTAACGATAATGACTGTGCCATACAAAACTGTGCTGTCAATCTCTTTACTTCCTCGTCTTACAACTGGAAGTTTGTGCCACTTCCCCCATCCTGCAGCCCCTAGTAACCACCATCTACTATGTGTTCTGTGAGTTCGACTTTCTTAGATTCTGCATATAAGTGAAATCATACAGTTTTTTATCTTTCTCTGTCTTCTTTGTTTCACTTAGTGTAACGCCCTTGGGGCTCATCCATGTTGTCACAAACCAAGGGATGTCCCCCTTTCTTGTGACTTAGTAACATACCATGTGTATATGTATATACACACATTCAGACTACATTTTCTGTATCCATCCATCTGGATGGAAATAACTCACTGATATTTCCAGTTCAAACTTAAATTTTTTTACTTTGATTATTTGAATTCACTGTTCTCTTATGCATTTGGTTTCTAGTGATATTAACAAAATTATTCATTTTCTTCTTCATATTGATAGACACTTGGATTGTTTCCATATTTTGGCTGTTGTGAATAATGCAGTGAATATAGGAAGGCAGATATCTCTTCAAGATCCTATTTTCATTTCCTTTGGATAAATACCCAGAAGTAGAATTGCTGGATCCTATGGTAGTTCTATTTTAAATTTTTTGAGGAGCCTCCATGCTGTTCTCCGCAGTGACTGCACCAACTTACGTTCCCACCAACACTGCAAAAAAGTTTTTCTCCACATCCTCACCGACATTTATCTCTTAACATTTTGATGATAGCCATTCTAACAAGTGTGAGATTTGCATTTCCCCAACAATGGGTGATATTGAGCATCTTTTCATGTGTCTCTTAGCCATTTGTGTGTCTTTGGGAAAATGTCTATTTCATTCCTCTGCCTATTTTGGATCAGATTTTTTTTTTCTTGCTATTGATTTATATGAGTCCTTTATATATTTTTCATATTAACCCCTTATCAGATAATATGATTTCCAAATATTTTCTCCCATTCTATAGGTTGTCTTTTCATTTTGTTGTTGGTTTCCTTTGCTGTGTAGAAGATTTTAAATTTGATAATAGTTTCATTATTTATTTTTCTTTTGTTGCCTTTGCTTTTAAGAAATTATTGCCATGACCAATGTCAAGGTCACTTACTACCTGTTTTCTTCTAGGAGTATTATGGTTTTGAGTCTTAATATCTAAGTCTTTAATTCATTTTTTCTATGGTATAAGATAGGGTTCAGTGTCATTCTTTTGCTTGTGGCTATTCAGTTTTTCCAGCACCATTTATAGAAGTGACTGTCCTTTCCTTATTGTATATTCTTGGCTTCTTTGTTATAAATTAATTGACTATATAACGGACAAAATCTTAGAGGCACTTTTTAGCCCCTTTGAGAGTCTGTGTGCTTTCTAGATTCTGTAGCAACTTCTCATCCATCACCGTGGGCAAAGAGTTCCATTTGCCAAGGTGCATTAATGCTGGGAAACCACATGGGACCCTGTCGGTTTAAAAGGCTGACACCCATTTATTGTGTCTGTGTTGTTATGCTTTTTAAGTCTCTTAATCTGTAATGATTTTCCTTCTCCCTCTCGACCCACCCCACTTTGTTTCATGCCATTGATCTGATGGAGAAGCAAGGTAATTTTCTCTACCAAATATCCCATATTCTGGATTTGCTTTCTCTTGGTGTGATTTAACTCATTTTTATAGTCTCTGAATCTCTTGTAAAGTGTTAGATGGATCTGGATATTTAATTCGATTTAGGTTCAAGATGGTACTGGGTACTTATTGTCACATCGCCTCATGAGGCACATGCCGTCTGGTTGTCCCACTTCTCACAACACTGAGACAGAACAGTGGGGTCAGGGGTTTCTCTCAGTGTGATAGCTCCACAAACCTTCACCTAATGGTTTCAACACCTGCTGATGATCATTACCTGGATCCATTATTTTATTGCAGAATGGTGGTTTTCCTAATTGTATCACTCATTCTGTATATGTTAGCTGGAATTCTTACATGGAGGAGACCTTTTTTCCATCACCTCCTTTGTTTCTTTAACATGCAAGTTGTCCGTGAAAGGCAGAATAATGCCTGGTTCTCCTTTCACCAATCTACCTTCAGAGTAACGCTCTGGTGCTCTAGCTGGTACTCTAACTTCCAGCACTGACCAAAGAGTTTTGGGTTTTTTTTCTGTTTTTTTTTTTTAAATATATATCTTTGTGAATGCATGGATTTTTATATATTTTATTTGCTTTAGCACATGACAGTATTCATTTTTATGCTCACAATGCCTCATCTTACACTATTGGGAATCACTTCAGATTAGCTCCTGGGTTCTTTAGACATGACCGCATTTGTCTTTGAAACCTTCCTTGCTTCCTTATACAATGAGAAATCCCTGCTTTATTTGGTACATTTCCTGGCCTAGACCTACGATCAGCCACCTCTTCATATGGTCCCCATTCCTTTTAGTATGAAATGATTTTTAGAGACCACAGTCTAGCTGCCAGAGGTGATGATTGCTAGCTGGCTCTCATTGCTTCTAGACTTCTTCAGTAGATTAGATACTAGAAAATAAATTCTGTTTTTTAAGAGAAAAATAACTCACTGATATTTCCAGTTCAAACTTAAGACAAATTTTTTTACTTTAATTATTTGAATTCGCTGTTCTCTTATACACTTGGTTCCTAGTGATATTAACAAAATTATTCATTTTCTTCTTCATATAATATACCTACAATAATCTCATTACCTCGCTTTCCCACATAGAGGTTACGTCTATTAAGATTGTTGTGTACCATTTTTAAAAATCAGTATTGCTACCAAAAAGACTACCAAGTGTAATTTTATAACTTTGTGGGTTCTTTTGTTCTTGGAATTTATCCTGTTATGAATGTAGAGTCAAAAGTCATCTGGGGGGGCACCTGGGTGGCTCATTCAGTTAAATGTTCAACTCTTGGTTTCAGCTCAGGTCATGATCTCAGGGTTGTGAGATCAAACCTCTTATTGGGCTCCATGCTCTCTCTCCCTCTCCCCACTTCCCCTCGCTTCTCCTTCACCCTCTCTCTCTCTCTCTCTCTCTCTCAAAAAAAAAAACAAAAACAAAAACAAAAAACAATCACTTGGATGTTGAGTTAAAATCACTTGAAATCATTCTGTCCTCTGTGCAGTTATGCCAACAATATGATATAAAATTAGGCTCGTTTGTTTCTGTTTGTTTTCTAGTTTCAGAGATTATCTTATTTCTCTTTTTGTCTGATTTTGTCGTTTAACTATATAAAATATTTACATAATTCTAAAGGCAAAATTATACATGTATAAGTGCCTTGGCACCCTGTCTCCCGATCTTGTCTTGTCCCTCCCCCCAACGGAAACTATTACTTATCCTTCTATTTTTATGTTTTAAAATGTAAGCAAACAACATACCTCTTCACCTGTGTTCAATTATATTCAGACACTCCTTCCCCACATAGAGCTGACATACCATAAACCTTGTTGTGCACTCTGCTTCATTTTCCACTCGGTGCAGTCTGGTGCTGCCCTACCGCGTGGTCACCTGCAGGGTGGGAGGGATGTGCCTTGGTTTATGCACATACCTGCTGAGGGCCATTTGGGATGTTGGTGGTCTCTTCCTTCTGTAATTGTAATGAATGGCCCTGAGCATATGACCTTCTATGTTTTTGCCAGTGTATCTTTGCAGAGGCCTTTTCATGCTGTCTCAACTTCTGCTTATACCAAGAGTAGAGGCATTGGAGCAGTGGTAATGGTTCTCAAAGGGCATGGCCATGGGTTACCCACAGTAGGAGGGAAAGGCAGGTGTGCATGTGATCTTTGTAACAGGAGATGCCACTGGCAGGGAGGGCCTGCCGGGTTCTTTCACTGGGCTTCATGCCCTCCCTGAAGAGTGAGGACACATCCTTCTGGGAGCCTCTAGGTTCCCCTGCTGCAGACTCACTACCGTGAGCTAGAAAGAAGTTGGCAAGCACCATTAACCAACAAAACGTGATCTAAGTGAAGTGGGACCGCCCCCAAGAGTTCTTAATGCCACATAGAGAACAGGATGCCTGGGGCGGCCTGCGGGTGGGGGAGCATGGAGTACAGATGCCCAGTGCCGATGGGGGCAGGTTTTCCTTCCTTCATCATCGGGTCTCAATCATCTCCTTCCACCTATTGTTCAGACAGCTAACCCCCACATCCTCTTAGGACAGACACTGTGTGAATGTCCTGTGCGTTCGGTTCCTAAATGGAGTCTTGAGCTTGGGGCTGGGGCAGAGGCCGGGATGGGGATGATGAAAGGGCCCACCATCTGTGCTCCAGGGCTAGGCACACAAGCTGGATTAGAAAGATCATTCACAGCAGGTAATGAAAAGAGGGCACGACTTTGCAGATCGGCAGTTCCCATTTCAAACCCAGTCCATGGATATGTGTTTTGGACCGCCTTGCCAGGATCCCTCTGTCAGGCAGGTCCTCAGCTGCTGTGCAGACACGACCTCTAGCCTACTGAGGACCAGCTTGTTTGCCCACAGGAATGATTTCACCTTCCTCAGGCATCCACCACAGTCTTCTGCACACACCGCCCACCCCTCCCAGCCAGCCCTTCCTCTTGCAGGCCTGCTGTCTTGGACCTCACACCACATTGAACGCTGGTTTTCCCATTAATAAAAAGAATTCACACAACCTTCAGAGCCGTCAGGAAAATTCCTACCTCTGCAGTGCTCCTCATCATTGGCTGTGGTATTTGACAGGGTGGGGATAAGCCAGAGTGAAAAGCCATTTAAAAATAAATACAACTGAGGGCTTACTGTGGCTGTGCCACTAGGCCCCGGCCCTCCTCTCCATCCTGAGTGCTCAGCATGAGACAGGGAGGAGTGCAGACTCTCACGGTGCCTCTTTTGTCCTAGGGAGTCGAGGAGCGCACTGGGTAGCCGGGCCCTGTCGCATGACAGTATTTTCATTCCTGAGTCGGGACAGGATCCCCCTCGACCTGTGCGGGTATTTTCCCAAGAAAATGTGTGCGACCGGATTAAAGCCCTGCAGGTAAACTGCTCCTTGGCAGTGACACTTGGTATGTATGTCAAATACGAGTCAAGACGTTTTCAAGTTATTTTCTGCCTGTTATTTGACATATTCTGAAGTATAATTGCATGCAGGACACTGCGAATTACTTACAGACGGATCCTGACTCATCCTGAATTGTCACCACTTATTTTCAAGAGCAGGAGGGATGGTGGCAGACAACGCTTTTCAGTTCAGTCCACTACACCAGGCAGGGGCATTGAAAATAGACCCTGAATGAATGAATCAGAGCAGGAATATTTGTTGATAAAAAGTTGCTGATGAAAATAAGAGCAAATGTTCTTTATTACAATCTAGCTAAAAATACAGTGTAATGTGAAAATGGGGCCACCACCTCCTCCGGGGGGCCTTCCTGCCAAGCGGGGAGATGACGCCGGCATGAGTTCTGAGGATGACGGTCTACCCAGGAGCCCCCCGGAGATGTCCTTGCTACCTGACATCGGTCCTGGCACAACCATAAAGGCAAGTAAGCCTGTGCCACCTCGTGGCTTGGCGTGCACCCACTTCAGAGGGCACTGAGGGTGGGGGTGTGCTCTGGTGGCCCCCGTGTGCTCCTGTAAGAGTCCCATGGTCTGTGTGGCCAGGCGGTATTCCAGACCAGGTCAGTGGAGCTCACAGTCTTGGGCTGTTTCCATTATTTGAGCAGAAATGTCCATCTTGTCAGGAGATACGGTTTTGGTAACATTTTTTTGTAATGGTTACAGATCTGATACAATCAATCCTCTACCTGGTTTTTCCTGTCTGAGCAGATGACCAGACCAGGCATCCCATCTGAAAGGAGGAAAACACCTTTATGTCTGTTTTCTGTTGTCATGACATCTGGCTGGAGGGAGAGGGAGTGGTGAACATACGTGACTTAATCTGGACTCTCTGATCTTAGTTTAGGACCATGAGAACCTGTTGGTCTAGGGCTAGAATGCGGTAGTGTGCTGCTGGAAAACAGGGCAACAGGGGAAGTTTGACAAGCAGGAGGGGTATCTATGACCTCAGCAGGGCAGGGGAGCTGATTGTGGATAACACCCTTCCCCATTAGGAAACAGGATGAAGAATTGCACCCCGAGGAAGTCAACCTGCTCGTGGTGCCGCCATCTTAAGCCCATAGGCTGTGCTTGTACATAAATGATCCTTTTCCCTTTAGACCAGCCCTGCTGAGGGGTGGATAAAATTGGAGTTATATGTGTTTTTCTCACACTTGAAAAACAAAGGCCAGAGTCCATGTTTTATAGCCACTCCCCTGCCCGGTGCATTCTTGGAGCTCTGGCTTGTGCCCTAGTGAAGGGGTGTTCACTGGGAATCTCGGGGATTCATCGTGAACCACTGTCTTGTAGATTCTGAGCCACTCTGTTATACATCAGCAGTCACGTCAGCTTGGACAACCAGAAGCCCCCTGGCAAAGGCAGGGGAAAGAATATTTATCTAACTTAGGTGCGGTTGTGGGTCCCCTGAGCATCACCAATGAAAGCCAGAGGAAGGGCTGTGGTATAGCTACATGTAAGTAAGCTCCAGGGTTGGGAGTTCGCTCAGAGCTGGCTAGAGAATTGTTCTCTCCAGAATTCTGCTCTAAGGTGAACCTGCCCCTGCTTGTTCCATGAGCAGGGTCTGAAGGCAGTGAGCTACCCACATCTGTTCTCCCACGTTGAAGAGGAGGAGAAGACAAGAAGGATGATTTGGCCTATTTGATGGGTTTCAAGCCAACCCTTAAAATCCTGGAGGGGAAGGTCGGCAGGCAATGGCTAACTCCATTGTCACGTGGCAGACCCATCTCATACTCTGAGATGTGGAGCGTCAGCATCTCCAGCCTCAGGGGCAGATGGGATATTGTAAGTTTCAGGGCCACGTGCTGGAGAAGCAACTCTTATAAGCCGTATGGACTGGTTTGCCCTCACTCCATCCCACAGTTCTCTGGCTCTCTCTGCCTTTAGCTGGGATTGTACAGGAGAACAGGTAGTTTTTAGTTCCATTCATTAAGGCATGAACCCAACGCTGAACCTGCAAAGCACCACAGTGCACAGAATACATAGTTAGCTGCGTGGGGGCTCCTCTCACTGGGCAGGGCTAGCCTCATCCTTCTCAGCATCCCTGGTCATGTTGCTAAGAAAAACAAGGTTCTGAGATTTTATTAACTGGATAATTTCATTAATTGGGTAATGGGAAACTAAAATTGGAGCCCTTAAGACCTAAAAAAAATTTGTGTAATCTTTGTTATCATGGTTTTTAAGACATAGTGATCATATTTAATGCCCTAAAAGTTTCTTGGGCACAGCGGACTGGTTGAGACGGGGAAACAGTGCACCCTTTAAAATGTCTCCATATAAACATGTGATATTTGGTATAATGATACCCTAAATCCCCAAAGGATGGGATTGGGGGTATTTCATTTTTTCCTGTTGTAACTCCTGAAGCAGGCCCACATGTGTGATAGAGAAACTTAATGAAGATTATTGTGGTGAAATGTTTCTAGTAACAAGTATCTCATGGTACTGCCAAGGTTGTATTTTCTGATGGAATGAATTTTTCAGGAAATGCCTAGAATTATTTTAAAAATCTCATTACCAGACATGAGGTGACAATTAATAAAACTTTATTTGGCTAGTTTTAAGGTAAAATGACATCCAACTAGCCATCTGCTAAGTGTCCTGCCATTAAGTAGAAAGCACTGGGTAGAAGGTGTCCTGCTGACAAGCTGTCCCAGGAGATGAGGGCAGGTATCACATGGGGAGATACAACATAGGCTCTAGCAGAAATGCATCCATGTTCTCAGAGGGTTTTAGAGAGGATTATGTGAGATCTGGTAGGTCAGTGCCTCCCCTGGCTTCAGCTGGGGATTAAAAGCCGGTTGGGAGACAGCCTTCCCAAAAAGGCCCCACCGGCCCTGCTTCATGTCTGCAGGCTGTTCCCGTGTGCACAAGCCTCAGCCCACACCTTGTTGGCTGAGCCCCTCTATTTGAGGACAAACACTATAAAGCAGCTGTCACCCAGGGTCACCCCCGGAAAAGCCCATGAACCCCAGGCCATTTTCCTGTTTGAGTTCCATTCCTCCAATGAAGGGCTGGCCACCTGCTAGACTTTTTAAATCATTCACTTCCAGAATCATCCAGAAGCACAGATTTCAGGACAAACCAGGTGATTAGGAGCAAGCAGTGCAAATGGGAAAGGTTCCAGCCCACAGATAAAAACACAGGTCAGCTTTCCTGCCCTGTCCTATCTTACCTCACAGACTTGCTGTGCTGATCAAAGACAGGATGCATAATTCTCCTGAGTCAGAAAGGTGTTGGTCTTTTCAGGCTCCAAGAACTCTCGGAATGACCACAAAGACTGAGAAGTGAGAGTTGGGCGCCCTAGCAGGAAAGACCAGCCGTGACAGCCAGTGCAGGCATTTTGCAGGGACAGAGGTCACTGTGGTCAGAGTTTCTGTGAAGTTAAGCCCATTGCCAGATTGTACCCCCCGCCCCCAACCCTCTCAGGGCTGGTATGGGCCTGAGCCCAGGACCAGCTGCTCAGGTGGTGGACGAGCCGGGGAGCTGAGTGGAGAGGAGGCAGGGAAGGTTCATTCTTTGCGTTTATAGGAAGGTGACCAAAGCCCATGTCCTCACAAAAGGCATAATCATTCTCACCTGGGAGTACTGCATTTGCAGAAGCAGCTCACCTGGCCTGTTCTCCTGTTCTCTTAAGTTCCACACAGTCAGGAAAACAAAACCCCAGATTTTACCATGTGTATATACATATCGTTCCTCTGGACAAGGGTGGAATGAAGGATTCTTTTGACCTTTGGAATGTACCCATTCTAATGGTGACCCTCAGGGAGGACACCTGGGAAAGGCGTCACCTATCCAATCTTGGGTGACTTACTGAGTCATCAGCTACAACAGTGGAAGCCAAAGCCACAGGCACAGAGGAAGCCAGGAGTCTTGTCCTGTGGTTTATTTTTTTTTTTAATAATTTTTCTTGCTTTATTCCTGTAAGAACCCATGTAGCTGAAACAAGAGAATTAAAATAGATTATGTCCACTTATTACCCTTTTCCCCTCATTGTAGTAATAGTCTTCCCCCATTCGGCAGAAATAAACTTCATACTTGCAAGAGAATATATAAGGGACCTTTCTGTTAAGAGGGAAAATACGTTTCTCCAAGGAAGTTCCCTTGCAGGGGCAGTCCCTGCATCAGCTTGTCTCTCTAACAGTGACATTCTTCTAGGGTCCCCTAGTTTAGCAGAAGCTATTGCATCCTGCTCTGTGTGGGGCTCCAGGGTTGTGGAAAAGAAACTGAGCAACATGTAACCAGGCCGCTGGGAGTCTGCCCACTGCCCACGTCTTGTTTGCTGCCTCCTTCCCGAGGAGACCATCTTCACGGGGGCTTACTAAATCGTTGTGAAATGCCTAAAATTAAGGGCTTAGGTTAAAATGTAAGCTTGACACCACGTTGCACCCATCAGGATGGCTCCTATCAAAGAAGAAAATTACAAGTGTTGGCAAGGATGTGGAGAGATTGGAGCCACTGTGCACTGTTGGTGGGAATGCAAAATGATGCAGCCACTGTGGGAAAAACAGTATGGAGGTTCTCAAAAAATTAAAAATAGAACCCCTGTATGATCCAGCAGTTCTGCTTCTGGATATATAACTGAAAGAACTGAAAGTTAGTTGTTGAAGAGGTGTTTGTACACACATGTCCACAGCAGCTTTATTCACGCTAACTAGAATGTGGAAGCAACCACATTGCTTTATTGCATCATTCATTGATGGGTGAACAGATAAACAAAGTGTGGTATCTACATACAGTGGAATATAGGGAGTCTGACCCAGGCTACAACATGGGTGAACGTTAAGTGAAACAAGCGAGACAAAAAAAGGCAAATCCTGAATGATTCCCCTTAATGTGAGGTACCTAGAGTAGTCAGAGTCATAGAGATAGAAGGTAGTAGAATAGTGGTTGCCAGGGTCTGGGGGGCAGGGGGCAATGGGGAGTTCTTGATTAGTGGGCACAGACTTTCAGTTTTATGAGAGAGAAAGTTCTGCAGATGGTTGCCCAGCAACAGGAGTGTCGTTACTGCCACTGAACCGTATGGCTAGAAGCGGTTACAATGGTAACTTTTGTTGTGTGTATGAAATGTGAAAGATGAACAACACTGGGAGAAAAATGTAAACTTGACACTAATGCTGAGCACCATACAGAATAGAAGCAGGGGACAGGGTTATAACTAAAGCCCAGCACCTCTCGGATTCTCTCTGCATCCTGCTTCTGTGTGGGTTATCATGGGTGCCCACTGGGTACCCTCCTCCGCCTCTTCATGCTGATAAACCTCTTTGCAGTAGAACCCACTGAGACCTCACTCAGGGAAGGGGATGGCCAAGTTCAGTGGGCGGGCAAGAGCATGCTACCGTCATTCTTCCGGGTGACTACCAAAATCCCCTTTCTCCCTGGCAGTGCCTTTGCCCTTGACTGACTGTCAGTGCCTCGCTGCTGAGGTGTAAGCTAGCAAAATATCTGTCACACCAGATTTCTGCAGGAGGACACATGAAGATACAGAAACCTTCTGGAAAGAACAAATGCAGCTGCAGCGATGGGCTGCTGGGTTGATAGGCTCTGCCCATCCTCCGCTCCAGCCTGTAAAACCACCTCTGGGCACACTCTAGGCTTCTAGAGGCAGGAGCACGCCTGCTCTTAGAGAGATCAGGTGGGTCTGTCTCATCAGAGAAAGAGGCTCTTCACCGAAGTGCCTGTACCTGCTTGGAAGGGTGAAAGCAGAGTTGTCTCACCGAGGCTGCCCGGGATGCAGGCTCTCTGCATGGCCATGAAAATGAGTGAGAAGTTTGTAGGGGGTTGGCCCAACATTTAAAGCTCCTTTCTAAGGAAGTCCCCTAGAGTCCTCCCTGTTGAGAGTCAGGCTGTAGGTCTGTCCCTCCATGTAAAGTCCAGAGACGGCGTGGGAAGCCTGAGCACAATAAAAGAAGGGAGCTGATATATTGGCTGGACCCATTTCATACTGAAGAGTTAATGCATGGCCTGCTTGCTCCTTGTCCCATGAAGGTCTCTTTAGTTTCCTCATCCCGGCCACAGTCTCCAGACCAGCTCTTCTCCAGGCAGGCAAGCGATGCCGGCATCTCCCCCCGCACCTCGGACAGCAGCACAGCACCCGTGGCTGATTTCGATTACCCTCCAGAATTCTCCTCCTGCCTGGACAACTCTGCAGCTAAGCACAAGCTCCTGGTTAAGCCTCGCAACCAGCGGTCCAGCAAAATGAGGCGGCTGTCTTCGGTAATGGGGCTTCTTCCTATATGCAGAGGCAGGCTGCACAGGCCTGGTCGCCCCCACGCCCACACCCTCCAACCCTGGCCTCTCTCTTCTCAGGGTCACATGCCCCTTGTAAGAAACCCCCATGATCAGTGGGACCATCTGCAGGAGCTGGAGTTGCTCCTCTTTTTCAATGTACATCACGTAGGTCTCTTCGCTGCATAAACATGCCATCTGTTCATTGGTTCTGCAACACCTCCCGTGAAGCCATCATGCACTGGGGGCCCCTGCCTTCCCATGGCAGTGTAAGGTCAGCATAAGGTCGGCACTCCAGGTCTGGAACAACCAGGCCCTGCCTACCTCTCAGACTTCCTCTTATTCTCCCTCTCTCTCAACACACTGTAGCCTCCAGAGCTGTTTCTGGCCTCAGGCCTGATGCCTGCTGTATCCACGGCTTAAGATGCTCTCCTCCTGGTTGGCTCCTTCTGTCTTTGGGTCTCAGCTCGGAGGTCCTCTCCCCAGAAAGGCTCACCTGACCACCCTGTGGAAAGCAGCCCCACCTTCCAACCAGTACAGTCCCTTCCTTCGTAGCCCTGGCCACACACAGAAATGATGTTTATAAATGTGCGTGCTCACTTATTTACTGCCAGTCTTTTTGGTTTTTGTTTTTAAAGATTTTATTTATATGTCAGAGAGAGAGCACAAGCAGGGAGAACAGAAGCAAAGGGAGAAGCAGGCTCCCCATGGAGCAAGGAGCCCAGTGTGAGACTCGATCCCAGAAGCCCGGGATCACGATCTGAGCCAAAGGTAGACACTTAACTGACTGAGCCACCCAGGTGTTCCTGTTACCAGTCTTCCTGAGCCCTCGCCCCAGCCCTGTGTCCGGCCCCTAGAGCAGTGCCAGCTGCACAGCTGGCATTTAATGTACATTTGTTGAACGGATGAACGAATGAGGGAATGAACAATGACAGATAAGCTGACACATTAGCTCGAACGCCTGCCTTGGGCAAGGACCTACTTAGTAGTGTGGGGTTTGTGCCCCTGTGAGGACAGAAGTCCCCCCCCCCACACCCAGGCATGCTGCCTGTGTAGTCATCGGCTCATAGTTCTAAGAGCCAAGAACTCATTCATGGAGTGCTTTGGATTCATAGTGAATCCAAATAATAATAAATAAATAATAAATCCACATAAGATTGTTGCCCTCTCTGCTGCCCAGCGGTTACCACAATGTCTCAGCCCTGGAGGAGCTGAGAGCAGGGTGTGGGGCCAGCCTGGCCACAGAGAATGACAGTGCTGAGAAAGACTTCTCCACAGTCCAATATTCTCTTCTTCCTTCCCTGGAGACAAGACTGTAGGGTGATGAAAAGCCCCGGACAAGCTAGGTGCTCAGCTAGGGATAGTAGGTTTTCCTTTGGGCATGTGGAAGGTGCTTTTTAAACGCCTGCCAGCAGGGGTGACTTTAGAGGAGACTAACACTGGAGAAGTGAACTGTGGTTACCCTCAGGCTAATGTGTCCTTGTGCAAGCTGGTCACTAGGGTACTTGTGTAAATGCTCGCACACCCAGCACATTTACAGTTAAAGGCTTGGTGCTGTGGGACTTGTCTGGGACCAGTAACCAACCTGCCTGTCCTCATGCTGAGTGGAGCCACAGGGCAGGGACAGAGCCCGCTCCCTCCGGCCTCAAGTCTGGGCTTTATTCCCTTGGGGATGTCTTTTGCCAGGAGGGGCCATAGTACCAGGAAAATCTTCGTGGTTGGGAGGAGGGACCTCACAACCAAAGGGCCAGCCACAGCCTGGCCAGGACTTTGTGGCAGAGGGAAGCCCGGCTCATACTCCAGGTGGAAATGCAGCATCCTTTCTCGCTCTCCACTGGACAGCACTGTACCTCGCCACTTTTCAGCTTGGCTTAGCCCTCAAACCCCCCCTTTTTTTTTTTTAAAGATTTTATTTATTTGAGAGAGAGAGAGATCACAAGTAGGCAGAGAGGCAGGCAGAGAGAGGGAAGCAGGCTCCCTGCTGAGCAGAAAGCCCGATGTGGGGGTCGATCCCAGGACCCTGAGATCATGACCTGAGCCGAAGGCAGAGGCTTTAACCCACTGAGCCACCCAGGCGCCCCCCCCTTTTTTTTTAAGAATAACAAATTCTGATTTAGGCACTCTGGGTAAACATTTCTTGATTTAAACACTGTCATTTACATATCCTCTCTCCTCCTTTGCTTTCCCTTCTTGGTAGGGATTAAAACCCTTCAGTTTTTGACTGGGCAGAGGTGTCTGGCTAGTGGTCACCAGTGTCACTGTTGGGCCCTAAGGTGGAGGCCCCTGTCCTTCAGTGTTCATAGCACCTTTTGCCCTTTGGTTGTAAGGTCCCTCCTCCCAACCATGAAGATTTTCCTGGTACTCTGGCCCCTCTTGGGGATCAGGGTGCTTTCCTGCATTCCTGTTCTGCTCCCAGGGTGAGGCTGAGCTGCCGTGGCCCCCTGGAACCCTGAAGACTTCTACAGAGGTCAGGGTTCCTTCTGATTTCACTGAACAGTGAGGTTCAAGTTTCCCCCGCTTTTCTGATCCCCCATAACATCTGAGGTTTCTTTATGCCTCCCCATTTTCACCGCTGCCCCCACTCAGGCATCTCTCTCTGAGTCACCCCCTCCGACTCTTCCTGCCGCCGTCCACATTCTGTCCTCCCTTTGGGCAGAACAGCTGTCCAGCCTGGCCAGGCACCTTCCAGCTCTGTCACGGGGGGAGGGGGTGAACCCTCTACCTGACACCATCTAGGCTCTGAATCTTTGGAGCTCTAGAGAAAAAAAAGGGGCCGGGCGGGCTTTTCTTGCCTTAAAAACTCCATCTTGGCACAGTTAAAAAACAAACCAACCTTGGCTATTAAGACCATGATATTTATTACCAGTTGGAAAAACACTTCTGCCCCACCAGAGCAGAGGTCGGGGAAGAGAAACACACAAAAGACAAAAGCTGGCGGTTATCTCAGCATTTTATCCTGCTCTCAGGAGCAGGGCCTGTGTGGGGCTCTGACGTGCCGGAAGCAGATGCCTGTGAACTGAACATTTACAGCAGCACCTTGCCCCTGGCTAGTCCTCATCCCCACCCCAGCAGTGCTAGGAGCAGGGAATATTAATTCTCTTTTAGTGGGAGCAGCACAATGATATGAGTAGCCCCAGGTTGTGGCTGACAGAGCTACCAACTGCGAGTTCCGGGTCTTAGAGACTGACAGTACTTCTCAGCAGTGTCCTCTGCCCAGAGATGACACATTTGCTGCCCCGAAACTCACTCTTTCTGGTGAGAGGAGGCTGATGAGCAGGCAGCCATGACCGTCTCCATTTTGGTGCCGGCTGAGCAGTGGGTCCTCCACTCTCGCTTTCTCCAGAGGATTGCAGGGTGTGAAGCTGCTGTGAGGGCCCTGAGGAGGAGGGGAGGGGCAGCGGCGGCAGAGATGGAGCAGGTATGTGCAGCCTTCCTGCTGGACTCAGGGCTTGAGCCCAGGCTGAGTCAGAAGACCCTTTGCTCCCTGCAGAGCCTCTGTTCAGTGTCCCAAGTCCACACTCCATGCTGCCTTCATCCTGCCCAGCCCTTCACTGTCACCTCCTTGTAGCTTCCGGTGGCTCAAGGTGGGATATGCCCAGCTGGGCCTGCTTCTCAGCTTTCTGCTCCTTTTGCGAGGGTTGTGATAGTTTTAAAACACGACCCACATCCTAAACAGGTTTCAACATCAGTGATTTCCTATAGTAGCAGAAGGCCAGTGACATCTTTTGAACCTGCGGCTTTTGAAAATTCTTCTGTAGATTTCTTTGCACATCTTCGTTTTTTCCAATCCAGGGGCATAGGGCTGTGCACCTTGGCAAGAATTAGCTAAGGTATTATCGCAAACACTCTAGTTATCCTGTGTTCTGTTAGCAAGCAGAGGCCAGCTGGAAGATGTTAAAATAGCACCAGCAAACAACAAATGTTAAAATAGTACCAGCAAACAACAAAAACCTAACACAAACACTCTGCACATTTCTTAACATAAAGGAAAGGAGGTCTACTTTCCTGAACTTTTCTTTTTTCCAAGAAGATCAAAGTGTTTTCTAATGTCCTGAACTTTTTTTTAAAAAAGAGTGACCTCAAAACCCTCAAGCTTTTGGTCATTTTCTCACAGTATTTTTGAATAATTCATGACTACCTTGGTCTCTTCTCCTTCCTAAGTGAGCAGCGACTGACTTTGGGTACAGCAAGGAGGAAGTTGGACTAAATTTAAATTCCAGACACTTTTCAGAAGAAAAATACAAGGCAGTGTTTGATTGTCAAGCCAATAGGGCTTCAGGAAAGGAGGGACACCGTAAGCTGCAGGGAAGAGGCAAGACTTCCTCCTATAAGAGTGGAATCTGAGACTGTTCTTGGGGGGCTGCTGGTGGAACACCCTGGAGGTGTGGGGACAGAGGAGCTGGCCAGTCACTTGGCCCAGAGGCTGGCATATTCAGTAGTGCGGGCCCAGCTTGACCTGAGCAGGGATTGGGAGAAATAATTTAAGACCAGAGAATATAGGACTTTTAATTAAGCTGAAAAGTTTGGACTTTATCCATCAGCTATGGTTTGGGACGTTACCTTACAAGATGTGGTTTGCCCTGACTGTGTTTGAGGTGATAAGAATCATCCTTTAGGCAAACCAGTCTCCCTTCACCATGGGGCCCATCCCTGGAGAGAGAGCACTGAACTGGGAAACTAGCTCTTGGCAGCACAGGGTCATGGAGAGAGCACCAGCTTTTCAGCTGAGCTAATAAGCTCAATCTTTACCAAGGTGTGGCCCTCTCTGAGCTTCCAGTTCTTCAAGTGCAAAAAGGAAATAATCCTTACTGGGATGAATCAAGAGTAAATAAAATAATAGGTGTAGAGTGCAAAGCACGGCAGACCCCCAGCTTATTTGATCCCCTTTGCTTCATTTTTTAGAGCAGTGTCCGCTGGTTTTGTAGTTCAGTCACTGGAATCTTTTTTTAATTTTATTTTATTTAATTGATAGAGAGAGAGAAATAACAGGTAGTGGGGGGGGGGGGGGTTAGCAGGCTCTCTGTTGAGCAGAGAGCCCGATGTGGGGCTCTATCCCAGGACTCTGAGATCATGATCTGAGCCAAAGGCAGAGGCTTAACCCACTGAGCCACCCAGGTGCCCCCAGTCACTAGAGTCTTAAGCAGTATTTACTTTCAGGGCATAGCCACCACTGTTCTGCTGAAAGCTGAACTTGTAAGGCAAGTTTCCAAAGAGATGGGTAAGGGAAGGATTAAGAAGAGACACCATGTGTGAATGTCTGCTTAGGTGCCAGCTTAAGAGACACACTGCTTCCTTTAAACCATATTAAATCTTGTACAAAATGGAAAGGTCATAGGCTTCCTAATATTCGACATAATAATGCTGTCTTTTGTCCTCTTTATTCCTGCAAGCGAGCACAGTCTGAATCCCTTAGTGATCTGACCTGTACCCCAGAGGAAGAGGAATACGAGGAGAAGTCGTTACCCAGAGTCAACACAGAAGAGAGCCCCAGTTCAGCACAGCAGGATGCGGTACTGGACAGAAGCCCAGAGCCCGGGGGGCCAGCCGCCATGCTGCAGCCTGGGGGGCCGCGCGCTAGGCGGGCGCGCCTGCAGCACTGCCCAGCCCTCAGTGCCAGCGCTGAGGAGGAGGAGGAGCGCTTTCTTGGGGATAACCCCTCAAGCCGCCCGGCCACCCCCGAGGTCACCGAGCCCGTGTCAGGCCCGGCCCCCTGCCCCGAGTCTCTCTCTCTGCCGGAAAGTTCCCCACACCATAATCCCGACAGTGAAAACCAGAGGGACGAAGTGTCCCTGGAAAGCACGTGTCCCCCAGCCAGGCACCCCACTGAGGAGGTGGTCTGCGTTTCCGCAGACGTGGAGATTCGGTTGTCTCCCTGTATCCCTGAGGAGGACACGACACCTCCTGAGACTGACGCTGCCACCACCTCGGAGACTCCCGCTGGTCCAGAGGGGCCAGACCCAAGTGTCCAGAAGGAGGGGGAGCTGACGATGGAAGTGCCCGGGCCCGTGCCTGTGCCGGAGCCCGAGACCGAGACCGAGGGAGCAGGGAAGGGATCTCCCGAGGCCCCCGCCCCAAGCCCGCCGGCCCCCAAGAGCTGCTTGAAGCACAAGGCCCCGGCGGTGAGCGTGGGCCCCAGCGCGCCGCCCGCCTGCGAGTCGCCCGCGGAGGAGCCCGCTCCGCGTCCCCAGGACGGAGAGGCCGCCCCCGCCGAGCAGCCCAGGGCCGAACCCGCGGAGTCCCCACCGGGGGGTCCTGAGAGACTGGCGCCGGAGCGGAAGGTGGAGCGGGGAGGCAGCGAGCTGCGGGCCGTGAAGTTCTCGGTGTCGTCGGGCCGCGCGTGGCCGCGATCAGGTGGCGCCCGCGTGCTGGAGCGCGGCGGCCCCGCGGGCCCCTCGGCCGGCCGCCTGCCGCTTCTGAAGAGCAGCCTGGTGTGGAGGAGCGAGGCGGCGCTCGACGACCTGCGGCCGGCCCCCGAGCCCCACGGCGGGAAACCCGCGACGGCAGGCGGCAGCGGCGCCTCTCGGGACTCGGGGGACACAGAGGCCGGGTCGGGCCGGACCCCCCGGGATGCCCCTGGAGACCCCTGCCCGGCCGCCCGCGAGCCGCCCTCGGGCGACGACAGAGGCCCCTTCCCTGTCAAGCTGCGCTCCACCTCTCTGTCCTTCAAGCACCGGGAGGCGTCCTCTGTCGAAGTCAGAGGGGTAAAGAGATACAGTGCTGAAATCCGGCTAGAAAAAGGGGGGTTGGCTTTGCTCCCCAAAGACGAGAAACGTCCGGCCGCGAAGGCCCCCTCCCCTCGAGGGGCACGGTCCCCGCACGAGCCGGGAAAGGGGAAGGCCCGGCCCTCGGAGCCGCTCAGCGCCAAGCCTCCCCTGCCCAGGAAGCCGCTGCTGCACAGTCGCCCCCTACCGCACCCAGACACCGGTTCCGGCGAGCTTGCGAAGGTCGTGCCGCCCCCGGACTCCAGGCGGGACAGCCGGATGGCCGAGACGCGGTCGACGCACAGGGCAGCTGGTAAGAGCCGCAGTAGCGGTGGGGTAGGGGCAGGGCCGTGGGCAAATCCCACGTCCACGGAGTATGGCAGCGCTTGGGGTGAAAACCTGGCAGGGGAACTGAGATTAAAAATCAGAATTCCTCATAGTACCACTAACACGTTCGGTCGAGTTAGAAACTGAAGAGGGGGGGAAACAAATAGGATTCTGCAGCAGTTCAGAGAAGTCAGAAAGATGGAAAAACATCTCGAAGCTACTCCCTGAGAGGAGATGGGCCCTCCAGGGAATCGCTCAGATGCCTCTTCCATTTCTTCCCTCAGAAGCTCAGTGAGTTCCAGAATCCTGGGATATGGGTACTCTGACAGATGGAGGAACCCCCGGGCCTATACCACTTCTTGGTGAGAAATGAAGCTTCTGGCTTCTCTGTCACTTAGTGACCTTCTGACCTACTGCCCCCTTCCCTGCCCCCAGGAGGATTTTTTTTTCTCCTGTTTAATAATCAGACTCACGTGGCCCAGCCTCATGGGGGAAGCATCCCATTTATTGGAGTCACAAGCCTTTGTAAAAGGGGAGCCCCCTCGGGGTGGGCGTTAACTTCCTGTCCCAAAAAAGAGATGGTGTGAAGGTTGGGGCAGTATGTAAGAATCTTCTAAAGCAACTGTCCTTTAAAATGAGCAGAGATAAAATAGATGACCTTTCTAGGTCTTTGACATTTGTCACTTTTTATTTTTGGTGTTTGAGATGAAACGAGCAATCTGTTGGAAATGGGTATTTGTGGTAGAGCTGAAGACTATTTCGTTGCTGGGTTCTTTTATTAATGGAAATCAGGGTGCCAGAAACAAAACTATGCAAACGAGTCACATGTGCGTGTGATGAAGGCCCTGAGGAGAAGTTTTCCATGGCAAATTTTATTTGGGGAAAAAAAAAAAAACTTTCAGGATGTTTTAAGTGGCTACTGTAAGTCTAGGACTCCACTGAAACACCATATTGCGGGACAAAGTAGGACCCTGTTCTTCTAGGGACCCCACACCCTAAAAGTGCACACATATGAGGGGAAAATAAGCTCACAGAAAGCAATGCAAAGACAGGCTCAAAGAAATTCTTATCTTTTCTGCCTCCTTCCTGGGAAGTGAGTGAAAATGCAGTGTGTGTGTGTGTGTGTGTGTGTGTGTGTGTGTGTACACACATTTACATATATACATATATAGTGCTTTAAGTTGTGAAGGTGACAGCTCTAGGCAGAAGTTCCGAGAAAACACCCTCCAAGAGCCTTCCTGATCCAAGGCCTCTTGGCTCAGTGGTGATTTTTTGCTGCTGCTGCTGCTGCTACCGCCGCTACATTAGGATAATCAGTGAGGGAGCTTTGGGAGAGGTTCAAGCTGGAGCTGATGATCCACTCCACAAATTGCCGGCGAGGTTATTGAAGCTATTGTGGAGTGTTTCAAAAACCCATTGAAATATCAAGGGAGGAGGGGGTTTGCTCTGTGCAGATGAAACCCTGACATCAGCACCGTCCACCTTCATGGCCTGGAATTGAAAATGTGTCTCAGGGGCTTGCTGCCTGAATGGAACTTAAAATACAGGATACTTGGGTTCATGGTCAGAGCTGGAAAAGAAGCTTCAGAAGGCAGTGCTTGACACATTAATAATTTATAACTTCCTCAGCCCAGACTGTGAGAGTTAGGATTGTTTATTGTCAAATGCCTGGAATGGTCTATAAAGACCTTATTTTTTTTCTTTAATATATAAAATATAATATAGTACATGTTAACAGCTTTACTTAAAAGTATAGCGTAAAAGAATTGCCTTGTCCATTTATTAACATTCTCTAAGCCACAGAAATAACTGATCCAGATGAAATCCATAATGAAAGAATCCCGGTTACTTGAGGACAGGGGTAGTGATTTTCCTTTCAGTGCAGAGAGAGGAAGGGAAGAATTACTCATTCTGCTTGACCTCAACTCTCCCAAAGTGTGGTTGGTATTTGAGGGGCAAATATCAGGACAGGCTGTGGCTGCTGCCTGGGACCTTGGGGTCTTGGGGCTGCCTCATGTAGACCAGAGCAGAATTGCAGAGTCGGTGCTGTCAATCCCGTTGGTGAAAGCGGGCTCTGTGTCTTCCCCAGATACTGGATCTGCTTGTGGTTTAATTCATTCTTATTATTTCTGTCATCCTCATTGCTCCCAAAATATAGCTGCCAGAGGCAATTAAATTCATATAAAACAGGTAATAAAAGTTTTAATAACAGTATTATTCAGTTTTCCAGTGAGGCCTTATTACTGCTGTTTATTATCTTGTGGTAGCGGTACTTTACCCAGAGTTCCCAGATGGGCTGCCACCCCTTTCAGGGGCACACACCCTAAAGCTAGGTTGCTGAGGTGTCCCAGATGGGTGCACAGTTCTACCTTAGGGACCCAAGCACTGTGTCCTCAGCACCCCTGCTTATCCTTCCTCCTCTCATCCACACTCTGTGTTATTTCTCTGGAGACATGGAAAAACCCTTCAGTGGGGGAGGCAGGGAGGATTCCCCAGCTGTTGGAGTAAACAGAGGAGCCCAGCTTTGCTAAGTGCAGGATTTCATGGGGTGGTTACTGCAAGGCCAGTACCATATTTGTACTCATCAATGCAAAGGTGACCGTTAATAGGAGGCGAATGGCCCAGGGTTACCAACTTTATTCATCTGTGCAGGACATTACCATCCTCCTGGTAGGATAGTCCATTTCAGAGTCTAAATGGCAGATCAGAAAGCACCCTTCTGAGCACAGGATGAGTTAGGCAAAAGAGTTAGAGACGTTCAAGACTTTCGTGTGGAAAAGTGGTAAAATACAGAAAGTATATAGAAAAAAACAGCCACTTAGGAGTCTGCTTTCTAGATGTCATCCCTGCTGGCTTTTCTTTCAGGTCATTCTTCTTTCTCTGTGTGTAATTTATATTTCATGTAGTTGCAGTCACATGTGGGATATTTTGGAGAATAGTTGGACAAATTGCCATTGTCATCTAGGGGCCTCATTTGATAATGAGCCTCCAGTCCAAGCTCATTATGTCCAGATGGGGCTGTGATAACAGTGGCACACCCAGGTCTCTGAACCTCTTTCTCTAGACTCTAGTAGTCACTCATTATGCATTCATTCTTGCAACAAATATGTCATGTATTTCTGCCATACACATAGCACTGTGCTGGCTCCCAAAAGGCAGTCAGAAAAAACATGTGGACCTCATCCTCAAGGAGCTTACCAGTCTGAGGAGGCAGGTGGCTGCTGGATGCCACAGGGGAGTGTAGATAGATGCCCATCTTGTCTTTGGCTGCTGGGGGCATTTTCTGGAGGACAGGAACTCAAATTCAAGTTCATTTGAGTTACTATGCTAAAAAAATACAGTCGACCATTGAACAGTGCGGGGGTTAAGAGTACCAGCCCCCCCATGCAGTGAAAATATCCACATATAATCCCCAAAATTTAACTACAAATAGCCTACTCTTGACCCTTTATCAATAACATAGTCAACTAACATATTATTTTGTATGTTACAGGTATTGTATACTGTCTTCTTACTATTAAGTAAGCTAGCAAAAAGAAAATATTAAGAAAATCATAGAAGAAAGTATGTTTATAGTACTGTACTATATTTATCGAAAAAATTCACATATAAATGGACCCTAAGGCACCTGGGTGGCTCAGTCAGTTAAGCGTCTGCCTTTGGCTTGGGTCATGATCTCAGGGTCCTGGGATTAAGCCCCACGTGGGGCTCCCTGCTCAATGGGGAGCCTGCTTCTCCCCCTCCTCTCTGTTCCTGCTCTCTCTCTCTCTCTCTCACTATTTCTTTCTGTCAAATAAATAAAATCTTTAAAAAAAAAAAACTAAAAATTTTTTTAAAAATTAAAAGAATAAATGGACCCTAGCACTTCACACCTTTGTTGTTCAAGAGTCAACTGTGTTCATATATCTTGAATTCTTAAAGAAAACCAACTCTGTTCATGCCTGCCTTTCTTTTTGGTCTATCATTCCCTTCATGGTCCCTTACTGAGCAAGTATGGTCAACACTATGGGCCTCCGCTTCTCCACCATTCCTGTGCCCCTCAGACCACATATATTTTCTCATCCTTGGTTGCCTCCCAGTGCTCCAGCCTCTCCTTGGTGCCCTGAAACAGAACACATCTCAGATTCCCACCTGTTTCCTCAAGTTCTCTCTTCTCTTGACTCCCTCACCCATAGCATCCAGCCCCTGGCCATCTGTGGGCACACCTGATTTGACATCTCAACATTCATAATTCAGTTTATCCACACCTCCCCCATCCCAGATCATTTTCCTTCTCCGTTCCCCCAACTATCCAGATAAGCTAGAGATCTCCAAGCCATCAAAAATATTTTAATATGGAAAATACTGAAAGGCCTAAAAGTTGTAAGAAAAATCACCTTGTAATTCTGCTTTTCTACAGTTCCGTAAAAAGGAACTCGCATTTCTGACCAAAATGAAGTAAACCACCCTATCTCTCCCACTGATAAAATTTAAAACCCTGGACAAAATGCAGGAAGTGAATGTCAGAATTCTGGAACCGGGTAAGAGTGGGTGTGCTGGGTAGAGAGAATGATAGGACTCTGAAGACCTCCCTGCCCCACCACCATGGTATCAGCAGACCCCAGCTTGGTGATTCTCCAGTCCTGTCCTCCTGCTCCCAACTGCCACCAGGCCCAGCACCAACTCCACAGGACAGAGTTTGTCGGATGGTCTTAGCCCTACTCCCTATGAGCGCCAGCAGCTAAGTAGCAAGCCCCTATATATGAAAGCAGTCCCTGCAGGGTGAAACACCTTGGGTTTTCTCATCCCTGCACTGGGCAAGTGCCACAGCAGACTGGAAGCTCTCGTCCTGGTCGCTGTGGCAATGGCATCTTTTAGGGCAGAGTTCTTTTAATTCTTCCAACCCTACTCAGCAGAAAGGCAGCTACCTCCACCCATAGCAGCACCTAAGGCTCAGAGCCCTTTAGCTCTCCAGAAAGCTCCCTGGTAGAGATCCAGTCATGAAGC